GATTTTGGTATAAGGGTCGGAATGGAATTCCGAGAGTTGCAGTAGCTTCGTTGTGTCATTTGGGATGTGTGTGCAAAATTTCAGGTCATTCGGACGTGGTTTGTTTGGGTTTTTTATCAAAAGCAGAATTAGGAAGTTTTTAGAAACTTAGGCTTGAATCTGATGTGTTTTGGGTGATTTGATGTTGTTTGAAGTGTTTTGATGAATGGAAAAAGTTTGAATAAGGTATTAGGATATGTTAGTACCTTTGGCTGAGGTCCCGGGGGCCTCGGGTGAGTTTCGGGTGGTCAATCGGATCATTTTGAAGTTAAGAAAGTTGCAGATTTTGAGTTCCAGCAGTTGCAGACATTTTGGTCTTCGCGTTCGCGAGTGGAACATCGCGTTCGCAAAGGGTCAGGAAGAGAGGCGTCAGGTTTGGCCTTAGCGTTCGCGAAGGGGAGCCCCGCGTTCGCGAAGGGCCGGGATTGTAAGCATCGCGTTCGTGGGAGGCTTGGATGCGTTCGCGTAGGTTTGTGAGGTGAGGCATCGCGTTCGCGATGGTAGGGTCGCGTTCGCGAAGAAGAGTTTTGGTCAGCGAAATTTTTGTGCTTCGCGAACGCGAGGCTTGACCGCGTTCCCAATGAAGGAATTTTAATAGCTGGGCAGAATGTTTTAAATACCTGTTCCGCGATGAACCCTTATACACCATTTTTGAACAGGAAATAGAGCTTTGAGGTGATTTGGAAGAGAGGAATTCATTGTTCTTCATTGAGGTAAGGATTTTGGACCCTAAAACTTGATCATTTGTAATTAAGGAACGAAAATATCAGTGTAAATTCATGAAAATCAGTAGAAAAAGGTGGAGTTAGGGCTTGAGATTATGAGACCTTTCAGGGATGATTTGAGGGGTCAAACGAACTCCGATTTTCACGTTCTTTATATGTACGGACTCGTGAGATGATGAAGAACATTTTGGTATAAAGTTTGTCCAGTTCCGGGACGCAGGACCGGGGGTCGGGTATTGACCGATTTTGGACTTTGTGCTTAAAATCGATATTTTTCAATTGGAATTTATTCGTTTAGCATAATTTAATGATAAAAATATGAACTTGGTAGATTTGGAGCACTCGAAAGTCGTTTCGAAGGGCAAAGGTGTTACAAGCTAGATTTCGGGCCGGATTGAGGTGAGTAATGATTTTAAATGCTGTCTTGAGGGTATGAAACCCCGAAATTTCACAGTGTTCGGCTATGTTGAGGTGAGACACACGCTAGATGACGAGCGTGGGGTCGTACACCGTTGGGGATTGTGACATAGTCCATCCCGAGTGACTACTTTACTGCGTATTTGATAGTTAATTGTTCAATATTATTATATTTTGGGCTAAATGCCATATGTGGGCTTCGTGCCAGCTGTTTGAACCCTTAGGGGATTTTAAATTATATTTTCCTCACTGTTTGATTTCATACTGGTGCTCAGTCATGCTATATTTTCACTATTTTTAAAACTCAGCTATGTTATTCTATTTTAAACACATTAAATGATATTTATAAAGATATGTTGAGCTGAGCTTCATGTTTTACTGATGCCTGAGGGGCTTATGAGATTCTGACTGAGTAATGCCGAGGGCCTGTGTTGTGAGGATACATTTGGGTCGGGCTGCACGCCGCAGCAGTGATATACTAATTATGATAATGAAGCCGAGGGCCTGAGATTGTACGCCACGAGGTGGCTTGAGATTTATATGAGGCCGATAGCCTGTTTATGATGTCACGAGATGGCATGATATTGCGCTTGGGCCGTAAGGGGCCCCTCCCAGAGTCTGTACACCCCCAGTGAGCGCGGGTACCCATTGTGATTTGAGATATAGCCCGGGGGGCTGGTATTGTTCTGTGACATTGCCCGAGGGGCTGATTCTGTTGTTACTGTGCCTGAGGGGCAGTTATTATGTGTTTACTTTTTAGTTGTTTTCCTGTATATTGTTTAATTGTTTAAGAGATGTTTATGAAATTTCATTGTTTAATTATATTTACTGATTTGTTATGCCTCTTGCAGCTTAATGTTGTGCCTTACGTGGTTTTATATTACTCAGTCTTCATTTATTTTTATTACTCACTGAGTTGGAGTACTCACTTTACTCCCTGCACCCCTATGTGCAGATTCGGGCGCTACAGGTCCTGCTCCTGAGGTTGATAGTTCCTGCAGGTCTTCGGAGATTTACTAGGTAACTGCTTGGCGGTTCGCAGCCCAGTGCATTCTCCCTCTATGTCAGTCTTCTTTTGATTCAGTTATGTAGTAGTGGATTAGACTCTAGACTTTTAGTGTCGTTTTAGATTCTCATGACTGGTGACACCCCGATGACGGGCTGTGTTGGTTTTTATTTCCGCAAATTATACTGTTAAATGCTTATTTTGGGATTTTATTTCTGATTAAAGACTTAGTAGTTATTGTTTTAGTTGTTTAAAGTGAATTGGAGGTGTGTCGGCTGGCCTTGTCTTCACGAGAGGCGCCATCACGATCGGGTTGGGATTTAGGGTCGTGACAATTTTGGGAAATTATTGGCAAAGGCTCCAATGATTTTTAAAGAATACTGGATATGAAATTTTGAAAGGAGCAGGACCAAGTTTGAATTAGTTGCACTTTTAGATTAATTATATTTGTTGGATATGTAATATTTTTGAACTTGATCTTTGACTTAAATTGACACATTAGAATCTAACGATTCGTTGAACAAGTCTACTAAGGAAGATCGAGGATTCCCTTATTCTTTTAACATAGCCAAAGTGGAGTAGGAAATGCTCAAGTGTGGTGTTACAATGTAGTTACGATTCAAATCGGTGATACAACTCGAATGTATTATCTTCAATTCTTCGTGACCATTGGAGTAAAAAGGTGATAAAAAAAATGAGGCGGTATCACTAGAATTTCAACTCTTGACACTAATTACTATTTTCTTTGTTGTTTGACTAAAAGGGCCATGTCTATGTTGTTAGACTAAAAAGGTCATGAATATAGACATGACGTTACTAGAACTCGCATTCGTGTCAATATTGGTTTATCTTGGTTATTAGATAAAATGGTAATGAATATTGAGGAGCACGACCCGAACTAAGAAACGATTAGAGGTTTCCTTTATAATGTCGCGGATTACCTTTCAAAAAGATGGATTAAGTGATGATCCAAACAAAGAAACGATCAAAGCTCACTGGAAATACCAAGAAGAAAGATGTCGAGTCCCACCTTGGTAGGATTTGGGTTTCTTGGTTTCGTTTTATAAGGATTTGGGCAATCCTTATCTCATGAGCTAGATTTTGGGGTTGAGTTAGATCCAAGGTTCATTTATCATGGTATCAGAGCCAAGTACATTCCAATTTATTGTTACCGTTGTTGGGCCCCCATTTATGTTGTTCATGCTCACTTCATAAGCTAGCTTTTAGGGTTGAGTTAGACCAATGTCCAATTATCAAAAGAAGTAGGAGACATTAGTATGATTCTTCACCAGCTGTTGCAAGTTAGAGTCTATTCCTTAAATGGTCATTCAATTATCTCATCGTTCTTTCGTTTGTAACAGAAAATTCACTTAACTATGCCTATAGCACTGAGAAGGTCACTCAACCACGTTTCTCAAACTTTTGATTGTCAAATACCTATTTAACCCTCTAAATTATCAACTTTTACCTTTTTTTACTTTTTAATATTATAATTTTTCTCTTATTAATCAACATTATGGGCTTACCTATAGAACATATAGATTTTATTTAAAAATAAGATTATTTTTCTAGCATATATAATATCAAAATAATTATATAAATGAGCATTATTTTCAAGAATATATAATATGTATTATAAAAATATCTTTGTTTTAAATAATTATTTTCTATAGTACGTGCATGGAATATATATTTTAAAACTTTTATTTTCTTTCATTCTCAATTGTGTATATAACTTTTGATATTTTGTTGTTAATATCAAAATTCTTATTAAGAATAAATTATTCTAATTAGCTTTTACTATACTCAAAATTTTATTATTCCAACATTATATATGCTTAAATACTATTTTTATTTTTATTTATTTATTCTAAGATAAGTCCATAACATAAATTAAAAAGAGAAAAATTACAATATTAAAAAGCTAAAAAATAAAAAGAAGATAAAAGTTACTAATAATTTAGAGGGTAAAATAGGTATTTAGCAATCAAAAGTTTAAAAAATCTAGTTGAGTGATCTTTTGAGTGCTATAGGCATAGTTAAGTGACTTGGTGTTACAAACGAAAGAAAGATGACTTTGATAGATAATTTTGGATAGTTGAGTGACCATTTGAGTAATGAACTCGTGCAATTTAGTAATTCTTCAAAGTTCAAATAATAGGACAAATTGCAGTTATGAGTCACTCCCTTTTTGATTGAAAACAAGTATGGAAGAATCCTGAAGCAACCATTGCATGTGAAGCTAGCAAAAAAGTTGCTTCTTTCGTTTTTTCTGTTTCACATGCAAATAAAGAAAGTGATGCAAAAGGAAGCTGCAACTCAGTGACTACCACACCCAGATGCCTTTTCTCTTACAATTTATAAACAAGAAAAGAAAAAATGAACATTCGTGTTCTTGTTTCATGTAAAGACATAGCTGTATGTTGCAGGTATGACGACCGCTATAACTTCCACATGCACTTATTATTAATTAAAAAGTACTCCATATGTCATTCACAATTCCTTTTTCTGCTCTTTACATCTCATTTTCATTCCAAACTTTTTTGATACATTATATCCAATTTTGTTGATACTCAAAAGACCCTTCACATAGTAATCATAAATCAAAAGGTAATCGTAAATCAAGCTTTTTAGCTCAAAGATTATCCGACTCAAACTGTTTTACTTTGCCTCGTTAGCTGAAGAGAGTAGATTGCATGTCAAATAATATACAAAAAACAATTCAACCACACTTGAGCAATTTCACAAGACATGCCATAGAAACTAGTATTACAACGATAAGACTGAGGACACTAAGAGTGGAAGCATCAGAATAAAAGAACTATTACAATTCCTTCACATTCTTGTAATGAATCTGCAATTGTTCACATGAGCATACAAAGAACACGTCCAAATGTTCATTGCTTATCACACCCCTAATCCATTAAAATAGACCTATTGTTTCTATTTATTCCCCGTGGAAGATATGAAAATGATAAACTTTGTCTACTTACAAATAAACCAGAATATAAGAGTTAGTCTAATTGATCCTTAAAAACCACCCCCTGAGCTTGAAATCAGACTATAGGTGTTGGCCACCTCCTATGTTCAAACAACAACAAAGAGACTCAAGGATCGGCATTGGCCTATAATTCCTTATCTTCATGCTCTGACATGACGGAGATGCCATTCGACTGCCTCATAACGATGATGGCTCTTGTCAGATTTCTATGGATACAACATGCTCTATATCATCTAATATAAGAGTGTGTTCACCAAGCGCCAATATTCGGTTGCCTTGATCATTTGCAAAGCTAAGAAGCTCGCAAGGATCTACCAAGAGACTTGTTTCAACAGATTTATGTGCTGGGACATGCACACGATCAAATCCAACAAGTTGTTTCTGTGGAGCACCTTGAAAATTCTGCGGCACTCTCGAGAATAACATCAGAACATGGCTTCCATCCCTGTCCCCATCATTTGTGACAGAGATATGAACAAAGAATTTTGATGAATGACAACTTTCCGCTTCGTCAACATGTATGTAACCTAGCCTACTGCGTCCTTTGGCAAGTATACTCCTCTTTCGATTAGATTTAGCAAGTGATAAACTCAATCTGCTCGGTGCAGATAAGAGTTGTGAAGAGAAGCTTGTATAGCTCAATCCATGCCCAAATCCATATAGCACGTCTCCAGTGTAAAACCGATAGGTTCTTCCAGGATAACCATTCGATGGATCAGCTCGCATATTCATGTCAGTCATTGGCACTTTGGTGAATGACTCTAGGTACCAAGTCATAGGCAATTTTCCACCTGCATTTATTTATAGAAATCTCAATCCACAGCCTGTTTTCATTTTGCAACAGAGAAAAACAGCAACAAATTTGAAGGAATAAGTTTCCCCTTTTACACTCTCATCCCATGGGCTGTCCCCATTGCTAACTTTGCTAAACTAGGTTATGCTTCATTAGGGACTAGAAAATTCAAAAACATTTGAAGTTAATTGCTATCTGATTCCAGTATGACGTTTATACTAACCTGGATTTTGATATCCAAAAATTATCTCGGAAAGTGCTTTGCCACCAGTCTCTCCAGGGTAAGCAACCCATAAGATACTAGCAATTCTAGGGTCTTTCTCAGCAAAGGATACATCAACAGGTCCACCACCAGTAAGAACCAAAATAATTGGCTTCTTACTTGCAGCTGCAAGAGTGATAACTAAGTTTTTCTGTTGACCGGGTAAGAGAAGACTATACCGGTCATGATCCTCAGTTTCCTCGGATAAATCCAACCCAGCCACAACAATTACATAATCAGCTTCTTTAACAATAGAAATAGCATCCTGGAAACCAGCAGTGGAATTGCATCCTACGTTAAGGCAACCAGCTGCATAAAGTGTTCTATTTATATGTCGGTGAAACCCCTCGCGGATGCTCTTTAATTTGCATGGCACTCCTGTAAGATAACATAGGACAGTACATTACGTTAAATAAACCACCAGTTCGAAGTGCTTTCTCTGGAGACAATCAAGACTCACATTTTTTTCTTGTTAGCTTTTATCAGAAGTTCATGATTACTGATCTGTGATACAAACAAAATATTAAGACAAGGGAATTGGCCCGAGTAACAATGAGAACAAGAAAACTCACTTGGTCATGTAGAATATTTCCTGACCAGAATGCACATTAATATTTCACTCTATGTTAAAATATTTTCCTAATGTAACCAAAAATGCTTTTGAAGATTTATATCTAGCATCAACCTCAAAACTATATGCACCCAATTCGAGCATTTACCATGTGGGCAATGACAAACACACACATTGCAGAATGAGGACTGTGCTTTTTCCCCATTTTGGTTTCGCTTGGAATTCGCATAAAGAAATAAAAATATATTTCTATGTTTTGGACATGATATTGGATTATATTAGTGATGGAGGAAAGAGCAAGGCGTCCTATACTCTAGGATTTTGGATCTTCTGACCTGAGTAAGTACCACCCGGACTGCTCACATTTGCCATAGGACCGACTATAGCTAATGTCGAAACACTTGTCTTGTCCAAAGGCAAGAACTTCTGATCATTTTTAAGAAGCACAATGCCCTGCCTTGCTGCATCAAGGGCCAAATTCAAGTGATGAGAAGTGCAGACATCTTGAGCCCCAAAGTTTGCAAACTGTCCATCTGCAGGATTTCCATCAAAAAGACCAAGCCGGAATTGAACAGAAAACAAGTATTGTAGGGCTCTATCTAGGTCTTCTTTAAGCACACTCCCCTGCTGAAATGCAGATTTCATATGTCGCAACATATATGTTCCACAATTAATATTTGTTCCTGCCAAAAAGGTTGAATTTAAGTTGGCAAAAAAGCATAGAGCTCCATAGAATGACAAATTTTATGTGACTGCCAAAAAACCTGCTTTAAGAGCAACAGCAACTGCATCTTCACGCGTTTTGGTGTATTTTTGGTTTTCATATATAGTAGCCACAGCATCACAATCAGAGGTGATGTATCTGAAATTAATCATTTAATGATTAGATATGTGTTTGAAGTAAATCTCATGTAACAGCACCTTCATGTAGAAAAAAAGGAATGAAATGTTACCCGTCGAACCCCCAGTCAGTTCGTACTTTGTCTAAGAGCTCCTTATCTGCACATGCTGGTACTCCATTCACACTATTGTAGGAACACATCAAGCAACTTGCCTTACCTTGCTGGATACAACTACGAAAAGGTGCCTGAAACGTATCCTCCATATCCTGCTTCGTCACCTAATATGCAAAATGATAAAGAAACTGACTAAGAAATTATGATATTTCACCACTACTTGATCAATTATGATATATTGAGGCCAGCTACATCTCAATTTTAGGCGGTTAAGCGATATGCATAGACATGTTTACCAATCTCCATTGTCCAACAGAGAGAGGAGGTATGTGAATAGTTTTCAGACATAAAAATTAGTATAGTGCCTTTACTCGCTAAAATAGTACTAAGTTGGACGACATTCGAGAAATTAACTCAAAACAATTGGTATGATCTTGCCGTCTTTCGAGCTAAATAAAAGCAAATTGTATTCAGGCTATGGTCTAATGTCTTATTAATCTTCCGCACAATGCAATAATTTGGATTCCATAGAACAAAATATTAGTAGGCAAAAGCAAAAAATATAGTAGCAACAACTCAAAATTCAGCAATCAAGTACAAAGGAAGAAGAAATTTACCACAGCATTGAAGTCATATCTGGTAGCATTACCCCATTTCTCCAAGTCATAAGCAGTGAAATGCTTACAACAAGCCGATAACATCAGCCTCTCACTATCATTATCATCTCCTTTAAGAAACCTCCGCTTTTTCCCAAACCCATTTCTATTTCCTTTTTTAGCCATCGGATTCAAGCCTTGAAAGCCCGTAACATACTCAATGGCATAAGCAGAAACCACCATAGGATCTTCCCCTGGCGTTTCTTGACCTCTTCCCCATCTGGGGTCCCTAAAAATGTTAATATTAGGTGCCCAAAATGTAAGCCCAGCTTGACCCAAATTGTACATAGCCCTTGCCTCAACTGCAATAGCCGTTGCAATTGAATGCCACAATGTTCTATTGAAAGCAGCTGCAGTAAGAATAACTTGAGGGAAACTAGTGGCACCTTTGATTTGGCCATTGAAGTTGACCGCAGGTCCATTAGTGGCAATACCATGAAGAGATTCTGACCACCATTCGTATGCTGGCAAACCAAGTCTTGGTATTGAAGTGGTATTATCAGAGAGGTGTAAGATCTTCTCATCAATGGTGAGTAAGGAGATAAGGGACTGAACTCTAGTGGAGATAGGGATATTTTTGTTGCAGAAAGGATATTTGTGATGAGGTGGCTGACATGGGAATTGGGGATGTGGATTCGATTTAATTAAATGAACACAGAATCCGAGGATGTTCAGGAGGATGATCAGTAACAAGAAATAATCATTTTTGGTCATGTTGTTAAATGCAGAGATGTAGGAAGAAAAGTGTATAATTATCCTAGAATTGTTGACTTTAGTTGTGCTGAGCTCTTTATATTTATATATTTATAGGAATTTAATCACACCGGCCGTTTTGGCCGTTTCAATGGAGGATATTGAGGTTAAACGGCAGGTAACGGGTGCTGTTAATTTCGGTTGTCTCAATTCTTTATGATTGGTTACTCATTATTCTCCGATCTTAAAAAGCAATAACTGCTAATTGTAATATTGCATATTGCGATGCCTCTCCCTGGCCTTTTGTAAATTTCCTTTAGCAACCCAAACGGAGGACAATGAGAAGCTAATCTGGATAATTAGAGAACAGATTTTTACATTCCTATATACTATATAAAACTATATTACCCTCTCAATTCAAATTTTACTATAATTATATTTTATATACCCAATTACCATTTATGTACATTTTAAGGGAATTAATGATAATAATTAGTATCCTAAAATTACTCTAACATATCTTCCCCTCCCTCACGTTTCTCTCTCCACATCCCACCCTCCTCCCCCACGTATCTTGCACAAGAGAGCAGCAGTTCCACTATTGACAACCATTAAAAAGCTTTGAAGCTTTGAATTCGAATTTGGATTTTCAAAAAACATTGTTTGTTTGAATTGGATGTTGTTGCAAAGAATTGAGAATTCTCTCTACGTCTTGTGAGCACGTGATTTTTGCCTTGCTTAAATTACTCCTATAGAATTCATAAAGTTAGGATTTTTTTCTCTTATTATTTTATTTTTAGGATTTAATTACGTATTTTTCTGCGTATTTTTATTTGCATGTGCATAATAATTCATAAAAATACAAAAAAAAATAGTACCTTTTCATTTAGGAATTAATTTTGTATTTTTAGTTTTATTGGTCAATTAACATTGCAAAACAAGAGAAAACAACAAAAATAGTCCTTTTGCATTTTTACTTTTAATTGTTGATTTTTCCTTAGCTTCTTTTAAATTAGGATTTATTTAATTTTAGAAAATTAGAGTTAAATCAGGTCTTTTCATTTTCATTTTGTATTTAACAAAAATCTAAAAAACGAAATGAAATTAAACAAAAAAAAAAGAGAATTAATTGAGAAGAAATAAAAAGAGAAAGCAGGCCAGCCAGTTTTTGGGCCAATATTCACACTAATTTGGCCAGCCCAATTGAGATACCACTCACACCCGACCTAAATGACGCCTTAGTCCGGTCCAGACCCCCTCCCTATGAAACGGCGTCGTTTTTGCTCAAACAAATCTCAGCCGTCTAGGATTGTTGATCCAACGAACGAGAAGTCCACACCCGTTAGTATAAAGCTGTCCGAACCACACCTACCCCCCTCAGACCCCCTACCCCTCGTCTCTCTCATCTCTCATCAGAAATTGTAACGCCGCCGCTCTCCGCCGTCCGCCGTCCGCCGCCGGGCGAAAATCGCCTCCGCCGGCGGCCGGTCTCCAAATAACCCCAAATTGACACCCTAGGTGCTCCCCCTTCTCCTCTTTCCGAATCTACACTCTGTTTCCCTCAAATCCTAGCCGAATCTTTCGAATCTTAAATCAAAAGAAGCGGTCAAACCCCAAAATCCTCCAAACCCAACCAAAATCACACTCCATGGCCTCCTCGACCTCCTCTTCCTAAATCCCAAACCAAAACCCTTCAAATCCAGTTTGAACCCTTCGAATTTTAAATCTAGGGTTTTATTCAAGACGGGTCGAATTTTCGAGGTTTGCCAGTGTTCGAATGGGCTCCAAAATAAGGTTATATGTTTGTTCTGGGCAAGAACAAGCTTGTAACATTATTTGGGGACTCAATTCAGGGTCAGTCCAAGCTATAGCCTAAACAGTAAGTTTCTCAATTTTCTCTTTCTTTCTTTGTTTTCCTTCTCTTTGCATAAGTAAGTATGTCTTTAATGCATATTTTTGTTCTTTCATTTTAATTTAGGTTTCCTCGATCTGGGTCTCTGATTTTCGTATATAGCAGTCATAGGTTTAGTTCTTATTTGATTTTGTATTTGTTTCAATTATATGATCCATGTTCGTTACTGATTTTCTTTAGGTTTTCTCTTTAGGGTTATAGTTTTAATTTTGGTTCCTTAAAAATTCCTTGTTTGCTGATGTTCTTTAGGCTTTGTTCATATTTTTTTATTATTTTACAATATAGCTTCATCTTTGAACTAGTTGATTGGTTCAGTTATTGTTTCAGTAAAACAGTGATAAAATTAGTCTTAGGGTGTAGTATTGATTAGAATTAATTCAGGTTCTAGTTAGGATAATCAGGCTGTTAGTTCAATTTTGGAAGGGTATGGTTATAATTGAAATTGGTTTGGTTATATCTGAATATTCTCAGCCCTTGGTTGATCAACTATGGTCATTTTGACCAATTTCAAAGGGGCTGGGGTTAGTTAACATAGGTTGGTAATTTCAGAACCAAGGTAGGGGTAATATAGGTAATTCAAATAAAGGATAATGCAGTAACTGAAATTGGAAACCCCTAGAACTTTCTAGATGGGGTTCCAATTAGAATTTCAGGGATTTAGTGGTCTAACTTGGGCAACAAGCCAATAAATAAGGGACCAACTAGCTAAAATTTAAAATTAAAAGGGGGACCTAGGGTGTAAATGAAAATCTGAAGGTTGCCCTAGACTTTGCCTATAAAAAGGCATACCCATTGTCTTGTTTCACAAGTTTTAGAGATCTGAAAAATTCAAAAGAGGTTTTAGAAGGGAGAGAGATCCAAAAATCTGCAATTCAAAATTCAGAAGTTTTAGAAGTTGAGAGATTTGAAAAGTTTTAGAAGTTTAAAAAATCTGAAAATGTTTTTGGAGAGGAAAAAAATCTGAGAAAGTTTGAGAAGTTTAGAAATCTGAAAAGAAGTTTTGGAAGATAGAGAGATCCAAAAATCTGAGAATTCAAAATCGAAGTTAGAGCTTAGAGAAACCAGAAAATTCAAAATTCAGATTCAAAACTACTGAAAACTACTGAAAATCCAAAAAAAATCCTGTAGAAGTAGAGAACCTAGGTACATACACATTAGATCCTAGAAACAAAAAATCCTAAAAAATTAACACACATATAGTGTAGAAAGTCCCTTCCAGATCTGGTATTTGTTCAATTGCATTGGTTCATCAAGCTAGGCTTTCAAATTCAGCTAATTTTGTGGATTGATTGAAGTTGTTTTGGAATCTACTGCAATCCTATCCCTATTTCCTGGGCTTTTGACTTGGAATTGCTGGTTTCCTGCTTGAAATTGAACACTGCTACATTGCTGATGCACAACTGACTTTCATTTTCTTATTTCTATTCAAATTCCAGGTATTACTTTGGCCTCAAGTGATGTGTGAAGATTAGATCAACATTATGACCAAATTTGAAGATAAATGATGATTTATTACTTGTTATTCTCCTGAATTTCCTGCTATTTTACATAGTTTAGATATTTAGCACAGTTGTGTTTATTTGAACAATACAGTCATGTGTAAATAACTGGACTGTTGGACTGTTTGTGTTTCAGAACTATATAGGTATTGTGTTACCATGTTAGCTGTAGTATGATTGATTCTAGTTTTGCTATTACGTTGATTTGAGGTTTAGCTTTAGAATAGGGTATCAAGTAGAAACCAAATCTAGAAACAATATGTACGTTTATATTGTGATGAAATTGGACGTATCCTGTAGCTCAAATATGCTAATTGTTCCAGGTTGCTCACCATGTGCCTGCTGAGAGTGAAATTCAAAATAGTTTATTTGCAATTCAAAACAGTAGGATATTTTAGATTTATGTTATATTACATGTTAGTTTGGAAGTTCATGAGTCGTTTGTTTTTAAAAGCAACAGCTCAGAAATGAACATGTAAAATTAAGAGTTTCAGTAGTTACTTCCAGTTTCCAGTCCATGACTAAGTTGGTTTCAAGGTGTATTAATCAAAATTAAGGGGCCGTTAAATTCCAGGTTGAGTATGTTAATAGGTAAATAAGTGAAACTGCGCGAGCTATTTGCATCTTAAAATTAGCATGCCTTTGATGTGAATAAATTGTGCATTTGTTTACAAATTTGTTAACAGTCCAAAAATTAANTTTTATCCCGGCATAACCCGTGGACCTCCCTGGCATAACCCAAGGACCTTTTTCTTTTTATCCCGGCATAACCCATGGACCTCCCTGGCATGACCCAAGGATCTTTTTTCTTTATCCCGGCATAACCCGTGGACCTCCCTGGCATAACCCAAGGACTTTTTCTTTTATCCCGGCATAACCCGTGGACCTCCCTATCATAATACAAGGACCTTTTTCTTTTATCCCGGCATAACCCATAGATCTCCCTGGCATAACCCAAGGACCTTTTTTCTTTTATCCCGACATAACCCGCGGATTCAAGGACCTTTTTCTTTTATCCCGGCATAATCCGTGGACCTCCCCGGCATAAGCCGAGGACCTTTTTCTTTTCCGGCATAACCCGGCCATTCTCCAGCATAACCTGGTAACCCCCCCCCCCCAGTTTAAGGCTTCATTCCCAAGGATACACAATCCCGTTTTTATTGCTTAGATATGTGTCACAAATAACTCACGAAATTTTTCTAGTGAAAACTGGGGCAGAAAAATTTCGTTCGTTTGTTTGTTTTGGTATCTGAGCAGGTTTGACCTCGAGGCATAGGATCCGAGGTAGCTGAAAGAACTAGTCTCCATCCAGAATAAAGGAAAGGAAGAAAAACGAACAAAAAGGAGTAGAATTACAAAAGTGTTGAAGCGGAACAAAGANCCAACGATGTTAAAATATATCAAAAACCACGGGTGCATTTATGTGACGTGGTTCGAGATATGTTTTAATAACGTTGCAATTCTCCTTAAAATTAAATAAAAGCGGTAAATAATTTAAAATTGCACTATAGGTTGAAACATGTATTAAAATTAGATATTAGGCCATTTATAATAGTTTAAGCGACCGTGCTAGAACCACGGGATCCGGGGGTGCCTAACACCTTCCCTCGGGTCAACAGAATTTCTGGTTCGCAGACTTCATTTGGAAAGTCGAAAATTTCCTCGATTTGGGATTCAAGATAAACCGGTGACTTGGGACACCAAAAGCCAAACCTATCCCAAGTGGCGACTCTGATTAAATAAATAATCCCATTTCGAATAATGTCACTTAAATTGGAAAAACTCCCTTATACACTATC